TGTTTAGCTAAGTTTATTATGTCAAGGTGAAAAGGTTAAACTAATGATAAGAATAAGTATAGTGTAAACTTAATGACTGAACAGTGTTCTAGTTTAGACTGAACTAACATCTCTTTTTTAAGCTTAGCCTTTTATTTGTCCTTTAACTTTTAATAGTTAATCACATCAATCAATCTTTTGATTTATGTGATAGGCTTGCATTTAAAATAAATATTTATCTTGATAGGCTTGCATTTAAAATAAACATTTATCTTGAATTAAAAGTATATTATATTATCAAACTTGTTATTATAAAACATGTTTTAGTTAAGGAGTTATTGATACATTAAGTGCAAAATGATTATATATATAAAAAAAATATATTTTGAAGTACTAATCAAAGCCTCATTTGCAGCCTCTTCAATCTTAGCCCATGAAGCATTTGGATTTTTAAATGTAAATTAATTACCAAACTATCTCAATTAAATATTGTTATAGAATCACCATCTTTTCTTAAAAGAATTCAAGAAAATATATATGGACATATTCATCCACCATGTGAACCTTTTAGATATTTTATGGTATTAATTGACATATAAGTAAATGGTCACATGTTTACTTACTTTATAGTGAAATGTTACATTTGTTAGATTAATATCACAAATTATCAGAGGATGAGTGTGTAACATCCCACAGGTAATTATATATATAGAGTTTTTACAAGAAAATCTACTAAAAAAATAGAATTTTTTTGTTTAAATTTGATTTTTTAATGTTTTTTGAACTGATTTGATGTACTATTATTAAAAATATATTTTTTAAAAATATTATTTTGATGTATTTTCGAGCAAAAAACTATTTGGAAAATAACTGCATTATATATATAGAGTTTTTACAAGAAAATCTACTAAAAAAATAGAATTTTTTTGTTTAAATTTGATTTTTTAATGTTTTTTGAACTGATTTGATGTACTATTATTAAAAATATATTTTAAAAAATATTATTTTGATGTATTTTTGAGCAAAAAACTATTTGAAAAATAACTGTTATCATATTTTCAGACACCCCTTAGTCTTTTGGTTTTCCATGACACTTAGATTATTTAGTGTTCTTTAATGTTTTTATTTGCTTCTCTTATAAATAACTACTTGTCTTGTATTTTGAGTATTGAAAAATATATAATAAAATATATGAATTTTTTTCTCAAGTTTTATTCTGAATATATATGTTCTTACTAGCTCTTTATTTTTAATATGTTATTAGAAAAATCACTCTAATCTATATTGAAATTTTGTCACTCATGAACTCTTATGTTATGTGACGAGTATCAATTTCAATATTTTTTTTCTTTTCATTATTGTTCATACTTTATGAAATTTATTGCAAATTTTCTTTTTTTTTATTCATCAAGATTTAAAGTTCTTGAAGAATTAGTATTGTAAGTTCCTGA